ATCTGTGTGAAGACCCATTAGGTTTTAGGCCTGCAATTTTTGTGAACTGTGGACAGATTTTGTGAACTGTGGAAGATGCATCACCATTCCACAAGCTCATTGATCCTTTAACCAGATGAGCTAAAAGCTGTTAATCTAACAAGTAAAGAAAAAAAGGTCCAACTTTGTGAAATGCTGACAGTTCCTGCACACCCTGAGGATGACTCAATTCAATGAAACCAAACCTGTAGTTTGTTCCTGTCATAGGGATGTACATAATAATAGGTGGTTTTGGTTTTCTGATAGAAGATGTTCAAATATCTGTTGAACTACTATGAAGTGATATTGGTCCTGGACTCTTTTTTTTAGAGATCTGTTCTTGCAAATTTGCCATTTCCCCCCCAAAAAACCTGCCTAATTTCTTTGTGGCACACTCACTATATGGATACACAACATTTGCACAGAGAATCTTTTCTGAAAAATCTTTGTCAATTTTGAGTAAATGAATTAGTCATATTTTTTATGCCCCATTTAAAATACAAGGAAATAAGACACCAGGGGAATCCCTAATTAATGATCAGCAGTGAAATGTTTCCTTGTTATGCCCGCGGGGCACACAAAAACTTACCAAAAGCTGCCATTTGCCCCCAGGCCAAGCATTACAAACCCTATTGCTAGATGTTCCCTGCCTGGTAGACACCTCTGCCCTTCAATCCACCGGCCCAGTTTACACAACAGGCTTTTTATTTAAAACACTATTTTTTAAAACTCTGGTGGCATCATCAAGATGATTTCTTCAGATGTTTTAAAGCTCCTCCAGGGAAACTGGAGAGTTTATAATATCAATTTTCAAAAAATGTTTTGCTAGTTTTCTCCAGGAATAATAAACTGACTGTGTAAAAGTGTAACTACTATGAATTTCAAATAAACTGACTGTGGCTATAAAACCACAAGCCACATTGAAGGTGTAGCAATTCTATTGTTAAAGTCAAAAGGCTTTTTCAGTGTGGACATGCAGAGATTGGTTTGTTGCTCTTTTTCCAGTTTCTCTACAGAGACGGTTCTGTAAGTGACGACAGACTGATCATACGAGTTAGTCCTGTCTGTAGAAGCTCGGCCACTTTCTCTCAAAACACATTCCTCCAGCTTACTCTCATTCAGCTTCACACCCACAGAGCATACTGATTTTATCTGGGAAAAATAACATGTGAGCAGTCTACCATAAAATGTGTGGGCAAAGTAAACAGTCGCATTCTGTTAAGCTATTTCAAACAGGACGGTGAAGCGTCTTCTGTACATTATGAGTATGTGAGGCTGAAATATAAAAGCTGAAAGCTTAAACCAAATTTAGAAGAGGAATTTTCGTCTGACTTCACACCAATTCAGTACTGTTACATTATTAATTAATTCATAGTTAATACATGAAGACATATTACTGAACAAGCCAAAAATAGGCGATGGCTGTCAGGGGACGTGACACCCACTGCCACCCACAGATTCCTCACTTACCGGCCTGTGTCGGGGTTGTGTTGATGGTCGAGGAAGCTGCTGTGGGCGTGCTGACATCGCTGTCATTGGAAGACGACGCAGCAGCATCAAGGGCGACGTTGATCGTTGAGTTCTGCGGCGATGGAGCAGGAGGCGTGCCTGAACTCCCATTCGTTATCTGGCTGATGTTCTTTTGGGAGACTTGGATGAGAGCGATGGTGCTGGGTGCTGCTGATGTTGGCTGAGCTGCCTCTGTGTCGGAGCTTCCCTGTAGGCAGGAAGTAAAAACCTCAGGCTATAAAGTCAGAAATCCAAAGAGCAGATCTGTGTCTGAAATTGGGGAGATTTGAGGAATCACATCAAACATGTATGGGTTCATATCTGCAGATATGTATGTATCATTCAAATTAACCAATAAGTGTGACTGCAGGGAAGAGGGTAGAAATGTGACAAGTCAAAAGAGTAGGAGGAATGGCCTGTTTTATAAAACTGAGAGTGCATTAGCCAGTAATTTTAATGGAGGAAAAAAAACTACGTACTTTATTTTAACATTTTGTCTCATTGAAATTGTACTTGTGTACAAATAACATAACATAACTAAATGCTATCACAGAATAGGAAAAGCATCTCCAAATGTATTATGAAATTTGAAAATGTTCTACTGAAATCAGAAAATGCAGCTGTACAGAACTGCATTGAGTCCTATGAAAACTTTTTAACATGAGTTTCACATCAGTTTTCTGTCACGTTACCGAGCGGATATGGGGTCTTTTGTGTATTCTGTGGCTTCCTGTAGGTGGTGCACGGCGAATCGCTCTCCGCCTCACACTGACAGGGACCTTAAAGTGAAGTTACAAAAACAGTGGCATTTAGACAAAAGTTCCCTAATCTGTCTTTAAAAAATATAAATAAATAAATAAATTCCCATCTGATAGCAGTATCACAATCAATGACTGTATCATCCAAAAAAGGCAGACAGATGCTGTTTTCCTAGAACAGACAATCTCTTCTTTTACAACCATACCTTGGAGAGCAGCTGCAGGAGACCGAGGGACTCCTCGTGGGGCTGAGGCAGGATGGAGATGGGGCAGCCTCCTTCACGCGAGCAGCTAAGAAACACACAGCGACCGCCGAGACTCCAAACAGCATTGCACTTTGGCTCCAGGCAGCAGAACTCCCAACACCTCGCTCCGGCTCTCCCATCTGCTAGAGGGTACCAACCCAGGCTTATGATGCTGCTCCAGTGGATGCCCAGAATTCCACCGGTGACCCGGCAGTGATTTGCTGACACACCTGGACCAGGACAGAAGGATGTCAAGATCTATGATGGACTGTATCCATGTTCAAAATCGGACTGAGGAAAGAAGATAAATTCTTCTGAAACACCAACTGAAGGTTTCACTGCAGATACATTCTGGAAAGGACTTAGCAGAAAAGAAGATGAGATTTGGTTTAAAAGGGAAAGGTAATAAGACAACCTCTCGTAACGTAGAAAAACAACACCTCTCTCTTACATCTATATTGGACAGCAAATTGAAAGGACGTCCCTAATTTTCTTCCCCACTTATCCTGTCCCTATTGAACCTGGATTGATATATCACAGTTTTAACCTGGAGAGACAGAAATCATTCAACGTGTCCATACCTTTCTGCAAGCTTCAGGGAAAAAGGCCTCTCTGAAGCAACTGTGCTAATCATTACACCACTATGCCAATCGAAAATACCACAGAGAAACCGAATATGTAAATCTGAACCCGATTTCTTGAAAGACACAGAAATGAAGGCTGAAGATAGCTTTGTTTAAGCCCAAACATTATTATACAACCAACAGGGACAGCAGAAATGATGAAATCACTTCACCTTTCAGAACAATATAGGTGAACAACAGCATCTCTTAAAGAACAAGAAAAGCCAACTTCTCACCTTGTTGCTAAGAGATCAGGAAAAGTAGTTTGGGGCTAATAAAGGCCATGCCTAGCTGACTGAATTTAGCCTGGAAAAAAAACAACCTTCATGGACATCTAGTCCTTGATGGATTGTTTCATTAACAAAATTAATTAATTAAATAAATCAACGGCATCATCATGGCATCGAAGGTGACATCATAGGGCTACCCCTTCTTTTTTTCCCCTTTTCCCTTTTTTTTGCCCCCACCGCCTTTTTTAAAAAAAGGGAAAAGGGTAGTGGCTTCCAGCCATAGCTACTGAGACTTTCAGATTCAGCTTTGACTGAACATTTCTTAGAAAAGTCGACAGGCAGCAGTTTGAGGAGCCAACCAAGGCTACAGCGGAGAGAGGAAGTGCAGCTTTTCCCTGAGAAAACAGGACGCTGATTAAAAACCAAAGCACAGTGCTCAGTACAAACTAAAGTCTGCCCTCTGAGCCAGACATTATCAGACTAATATCAGCAACACAGTGAGCTGATTAGCTGCCCTGTGTGTGCGTGTGTGTGTGTGTTCGTTTTCAAGAGCATTACATTACTGTCCTACACCTTTTATAGTCTCAAATGGGTTCAGGTCAATCCATCCATTATCGTTGACAAGCGATTTACTGTGCAGCCAGGTACAGTAAAAGGGCACAACCCTTAAAATACCACAGACTGTTAAAGTAAGAGAGGGAGCAAAGGGAATTTATATGTCACCAGCACAAAGAGGCCAAACGAGCAACGAAAATGGTACAGCCAAGTCACTGTGAACTAGGTGGCATTACAACATAATAAAAATGCTTTTTAAATCTCGTCTTGTAAGTTTTTCACTGCTGCAGCAGATCAAACACACACATACACGCACGCCTGTGTAATTTATCTGCAACCCACAACATTCCTCTGCAAAGGTTTGTTAATGAATACAGCACAAGAACTGGTTACTGTACTATGCTCAGTGGCCTCTGTTTATAACCCTCCGCCTGCAGAGTACAACACACGATAAAGAGATAACTAAATATTTTTCTGTTACTGATCTTATTCAGTAAACGCTCGTGAGCAGGTCCGTACCATGCCAAAATATATTTGTGATATACAAGAAATATTCCGAGGCACACCACTCGCAGACATAACTCAAACATGCTCCTATTTACTGAGGCCAACTGCGCACATTTAATGTGAATGTCCATATCATTAAATTCACTTTTGTTACACGCTGTGTTTAATGCTATCTTCTCTGATGCTTTTAAGGCTCATGTTCACACCAGCTGGCATTTTGAAAGTTACGGTCCATAAGATTTTGTTTCTGAGCAGTGCGCTAAGCTGCAAATTCAACACAGTCAGGCTCTCTTTGCAGTGGATGGCTTAAGCTAATCAACTTTCTTTGTTAAGCCAGTATTTCCGCTTCAGGCTGTGGGTGCTTACATAAAGATGCTGCCATGTACTTCTAATGTGACAGCCAGGTGCACGTTAGATGTCTGAAAATTTAAACTAGATCATTTTTTAAGTATTACAGATTATGCTGTGTGCTCAGGACTTGCACAGTCCCACAGCCCAATGACGAAGACATGGAAATCACGTTAGTTTGCAGCCAGATTAAAGTGAAATCATTTTTAGTGATTGAATATTCCCGGTAACCAGCTTTCAAATAGACTGACCAATTTTCAAATGGTTGATTAGGGCCAAGAATAAAAGCATGTGGATATGCAATCTCCATTACTAACTGCAATTTCCAGTGAAAAATGCAACACATACAGTTTGTGATGACCAGGCTTCCATCAGTGGTGTTAGTATACTACACCTTAATGGATTCTTTCAGCAGAGAATCTACAGTACTGTGCAAAAGTATGAAAATGAAGTATATGAGGCAAAAACAGTTTGTACAATTCTTTTGAGCTTGAAAGTCAATATTTAGAATGCCCACATTTATTCTTCAACACAGCATGAACTCTGTTAGGCAGGTTTTCTCGTAATTTCTTTAACTTGTCTTATTTTGGCTGCCTGTTGTTCAATTGCACTGGGTAGGCCGGTCTATGCATTTGACAACATTAGTGTGTTTACGATCCTTGTCATGCTGAAAAATGAAGCAGTTGACAATCAGATGCATTCCAGATGGTACTGTATGTCAGAACAAAATCTAGATCCCCAGCACCACTGGCAGAAATGCAGCCACAAATCATGACACACCCTTGTGTTCCACAGATGGCTGTTGTACCTCTCTCTTGACCTATGTTGTAAATCCTGATGGCAATTTGAACCAAAGAAGTCAAATTCGGATTCATCACTCCATGAGACTTGTTGCCACTGATTTACAGTTTCGTTTTTGTGTCATTTGGCATACCTTGGCCCTTTTTTCCACAGTTTCCATTACTGAAGAATGTTTTTTTGACAGCCACTCTTCCACTGAGAGCTTCAGTTAACAGTAGTATTTCTTAAGTACATGACTTTCAAATACTGGTAATCTGTTGTAGATAAATCTTTAGGTCTGCCGATTCTTCTTTTGTTCTCTGCTTCTCCAGTTTCCCCAAACTTTGTAGAACACACTGCACATCATGTCGACATGTGCCAAGTTATCACCTAATAGTTTTTGGGAATCACCTTGTTGAGGTAAAAACACAATTTTAATGCCTGTCAGTTTGTAGAATTATTATAGGTTTGTAGAATTTCATAGGTTCAACTGAAGAAATGGGCAAGAAATTAAGTGTTGTTGCATCAGGCTGCATATTATTTATTAATGCAATTTCCACTTCTCTCTTACACAATGTCAGTCTTAGTTTTTCTATTTTAACTAACTTCATTTATACTATTTTTTTTTTGTTTTTAAATCACTGTTGTATTTGTATTATCTCATATTACAAGGTCCTTACCAGGTGCTAGTGGCACTATTTTATCTTTATTATTCACAGTTTACAGTAGACTGTACTATTTTTACTCTTTATCATGCTGCTGTAACAAAACATTTCCCTTTGTGGGATCAAAGTATCCATTTAATTATCTAGTAACAAAGTGATATATTGTTGAGACAATTTAAATTTGGTTCTTTGCCAAGAATGCCCACTATGTGCAAATAACACTGGTTGATCATTTGAGTTAGATGCCTTTTTTTTTTTTACTCCACCACTTACAATAAAAACGGTAATATATAGAGGTAATTAAAGAATGCAAAATACCTAAAGGTAACAGGACCTTTCATGAAAAAAATAAAGCACATTCATAAAATTATGAGAACTATAATAGTACTCTTTTCTAAAATCCGGTGTTGTGCAAAAACAGGAAACAATGTTTCTAGATTTTTATAAGATAACATTCAGCTGAGTGTACACTGACTGAGTGAAAGCTTGGCATGTCTATTAATATATTACGGTAGCATCAAAAGCAAAACCAAACAAAAACACAGTTCATCAGATCATATTAGACCCTGCTACAGCAACCGGCAACTACTGCTACCATAGCAACACGAGAGGCAAGGGTGACTTTGTGGTGCATCAGTGTAACTCAAGTCTGGAAAAAACAGATTTTACCTCATATGAAAACACACAAAGGCTCTGTGGTTTGTCTGAGAAAGGAAGGACACCCCTTTGGCCTCTGTTTAGTCATCCTACCCCTTGTCCTCTTTTCTTCTGTCTCCCACCACTCAACACACACACACACTATGTCTACTCACAGAGCCTTTATTGTCCTCTTTCACACTGTAACCCACTGAGCAGAGTGGCATCAGAAAGAACTCACACAGCAGGGATGCCAACAGTCGTCCATCTCTCAGCCTAAGATTACAGGGACAGTAAACACCAACCAAGCTAAAAGTACCCTAGCATCATAATAACACTAAGAAGGATGTAGACCCACCCTGAGTAATCAAAGGCGTGTAAAGATGAGTGCTGGAAGCGAAACACGCACACATGTTTTTCTTTATCAGTTTCATGCCATGTGTATTTAGAGTCCAGGGTGATGTTTGGTTTACTTTACCTGTTGGAAGAGCCAGGAGCCAGAGGTAGGTCAGCGGTAGGAGGAGGAGGTGAGGTAAGCACCACGTGAGCAGCTTGTGGTGTGCATAGGACATTTTGTACAAGGACCTGGGAAGCAGACAGAGGAAGAGTTAAATGCAGCTCAGTCAGTGCATACGCTAACATGGTTGACTCCCACAAAACACTGAATTTTGGTCAAATGTCTATGGTTTACGTTGAAAGAGTAAACTGGATTTTGTCAGACAGTGTGGGATAAATAAAACCACTCTTTTATTTTAAAAAGGTAGATTATAGCCTTTTCAGTGTATCCAGTGGATATACCCCAACTTTTTTTACTTCCCAAATCCAATGCTGACGCTGTTGCTATTTTAAATGACTTTATCACATTGATTTTGTTCTTGTTCTTTGTGATATTCCAAAGGTGAAACGCTTGTTTGTGGCATAATCCTGCACATTTGTCTAAAGTTCTGTGGCCTAAATACTGAACTGCAAACAGTTGTTACTATGCATCTGTTTTATTTGACAAGAGAATTAATCATCAATTAAGTGCAACTCACTGTTTGGCTTCTTCTTAGCAGAGGTCATTTGGATGACCTCTGCATCAGCTGTTTAATGGATTCAGACTGCCCTCTGCACCCCTAACTGCACATGCAGCTGAATGCTTACTCCAACATCTGTTTCAGCTCTGCTGACAATACACCTACAAAGATTTTGATTCACTGGACTCCACATTTTTGGTGTTTTCTATTTAATTTGCAACTGTAGCACAGTAATTTCTCAAGTTTCTTCTTTCTTATCTTTAGAGAAGAGCTGATGTCTGACTCACTATGTTTACCCAAATCAATACAGAACCAGAATCACAGATATAGTCAACTGTTATCTGAGAAAAAAAACAAACAAAACTGCAAACAAACAAAAAAAATATAGCTACAAAAAAAACCCCCAAAAGAAACCAAAAACTGTCAGATTTACCTTTCCCCCAATCCAGCAGTGGAAGAAAGGTGAAGGAAGAAAGGAGTGAGGAGTTAGGTTGGCAGGAAGGTGCTGTGAGGTGACAGGTGAAGACGGGCCAACACCAGCACTCTGACGAAGAGATCCAACATGGCCGCCTCAGGGGCCTTCACAGGCTCAGCTGCTCCAACACTAGGCTAGAGAGAGAAATGAATTCAGCTGTTGATCATTCAGTATCATTCACATCACATGGATGTGGACATACACGATTACATATTCTGAAATGTCATCTGTATTCTAAATTATTCAGGTCTTGTGCCTTCTCTTCTTTGATTGCTTATGTCCAACACTGCCTCAGCTTTTTAGAGGCAAAGAATTTTAAGTCTGTAATTTCTAAATCTGATAAGAAAAGCTAATGAAAATGAGACTCTTTACTGGGAGATACTGTGCTGAGAAACTAAAGAAAAGGCACCTTCACTGAAACTGTAGGGACCTTTCATTGTTTTCGGCCTTTTCTGCAAAAGAGAACAAACAAGCCACAAATTCTATAACCATAATTACACAGCAGATTTCACTTACTAGGAATTTTCTGTCTGCCTCTATAATCTGTCATCGGTTTGAGGGTGTAACTAACACAGCAATTCTGTCAATATCCTGTTGACAGCAACACCTAAGGAGGTGTAAAATGATTCACACAGTTTTGGGCTATGTCCTGGTAACTATGCAGAACTGAAACAGGAAAATTAATCATAAGCAAATTTCTGAAGTTATACAACAGGTCTTTACTCCTTCTGTATGCCTAAAGGCACACTTGATAACATTATGAGTTATGCAAATCTTTAGCCTATGTGAACATGAAAGTAGACACTGGTTAATATCTGGCAATAACTAGAGAATTTCTTCATGCCAAAAGGGGGGAAAAGTTTAGTGCATGACTAGAGTCTTCACTGGCCCTCTCACTGTTCATTTGTTTTTCAACTCAGGCCAAAAAAAGGTTGCTCAATTCCAGGGAGGCTACAGAGGCCTGAATCATGTTGAACTATACAGATTTTTATTTATACTTTTTGAAGAAAAAACTCAAAGAATCCAGTTTGTTAACCAAAGAGGATTGTAAGTGATAAAAGGTTTTGTTATTGGGAACAACAGACATTTTTTGTTTTCTGTCCTTTTCTTCATTTAGGACCCGTCTAAACGAACAACTTGCAGAAATCACATTGACCTTTTCTGAGAGACAATTTCATCAGTACAATATATTAAAAGGTATTAACACCAGATATATAAAAACAATGTATAGTATAGTAATCTATGATTAGGACAGAGAAACACGTAGGGCTAAAAATTCTTTAAAGAGAGACAAATTGCTGTTGCATCATCTCGTACTGTGACGTCATGTAGCGCTCCCAAAGCCTGGGTAAATTCTGCCAGTCTATTTGAAGTTGTAATATTTATAAATCCTTCAGATTCTGACTAAACTGGTACTAAGCACATTATTTATTTATTTCCAATAATGATGTATGATTCTGGATTCTTCTTCCACACAAAATGATCCCCGAGTGCCACCTACTTCATTCAGACAATTTCTCAGATGAAGATAGTGATAAAAAGGGGATTAAACTCTATAAAGAACATTAAAAATTATGCAACAAAGTTGCATTGACGGCAATAGCTTAATGCTGCAGAAAATCACTAATATTAGAGTAGTAAACTCAACATTTTAATTCAAGTTAATTATTTGATCACCGAGTGCTCTCTCTGTTTTGCTTTAAACTGGTTAGAGATAAACATTAAGTGTTCCTGTCCCACAGCATAAGGAAGGAGATGTGGAAATTGCTTTGTTTTGTTGGTGGATCAAAGAAATCCATTGAACATTAATTCAAATTAATGTTACTGACTGGACAGGTATTCTTGGTGTGTGTGCTGTTGTTCTAGTAACTGCAGTTACAGAAGTGTAACAGAGACTTAACGGCAGATTAGAATCGAGAATGAAAACATTTAATACATGCATCTTCCTGTGACAATATGAGTTTGATTCAGTGGTGTTAGTAAGGTACATCTTAAAAGGGTGCACATATAAAACACATTCGCCCCAGCAGAGAATCTGTACTGCTTTTACAACATGCTGCAAATAAAAGCATAAATGTGGCACTTCAACCGGATTCTAAAGTGAAAGTCAAAGCATAACCTGCTTCTGAGGTCATGTGTTCAGCATAAGTTACCATGGTGATTTAACCAGGTAAAAGGAGAGACAGACAACTGACTTTAAATTTGACGGAGCTTGCTAACCCAATAATCTTGCTTCATAGTATGCCCTTCTGTTGTAAAAAGAACAAAACCATGACCCAAAATTCAAGCTACAAATACCCTTAGTCACAGGCCTTCGGGACCCCGAGTAACTTCCTCGTCTTTAATATCCAGTTGTGCAGGAAGTGTGAGGAGGAAGCTTTTAGTTTCACGTTTACCTCCAGAATAATTACTAAATGAGTCACCAAAAAAGAGGCAAGACTCAGATTACTGTGCTGCTTGAAGGGAAGGTGTAATCCTCGTGTTGTTCAGCTTCTGTGGTTTTTGTCTGATGCAAAGATAAAAATCGGAGAATGCGCAATATTTAACCGCTGTGTTAGTACACATGGTTCCCTTTAGGTTATTGCAGCAGAAATCATAAAAGTAGGGTTAAGCATGAGTGGTAGCACACTGAAACACTAAACAGTTATCAGATATGTTGGGAACATAGTGTCAATAGACTAGTGTCAATAGTCTTGACACTATTGTGTCTATTGCTAGTGTCAAGACAGTGCGACAACTTTAAAACTAATTTTCTTAGCATTTCTATGAGGAAGCCACAGCAGTATCACCACTGTGATATCCTGAGTAGGTACAAAATGTTCAGTTATGAAAGCCTAATCTTGTACTCTGATGTTCTTGTCTGTAAAATATATAAAAATGACTGCACCTCCACCACTGCAAAGACCTCTGTGTGCATATCAGATGATTACAGATGAGCAGAGCTTCAAGGGAAACGTGGACGTGAAGTTCCTAAAAGACGTTCTGCTATGGAAAAATGGTTTTCATTTAAGAAATCAATGGGAAACGCTCCCTTACAGTTTGGTGCAGATTTGTATGTTTTCTCATGATCCAAAAAAAGCTTGTAGGTAACCGGCGATGCTAAGATTTCCTTATAATACCCTCATTTTATGATAGGTTTTTATAGACTGATGGAACATCCTGAATATTGAATGAGGGGGGTGTATATAGGAAGGTTTTACAGTGTGTATGTGTTTGTGTGTGGGAGTGGGCTGGAGGGTACGTATGTATATACATTTTTAAGTTGTATCTGTCCCACAGGAAGAAGGTTAGAAGTTTAAACCTCCTGGCCAGTCCTGAGCATTCTTTAGGTTAATTCAACGTTGGCCGTATGGGAGACAGGCTGTACCACGTCTCTTGCCTTGTGACGGCTCGGCTAGGTTCATCCTCACTGTTAAGTTGGATAAGTCTGTCCATGTATATAAACATCCACCTACTTCCTTCTGCTGGATAAGCAGCAGGAAACGGCTGGCAAAAGTCTAAGCAGAGATACTGAGATAACAGTTTCCATGCCAGCCGAGATATAATCACTCCAGTGTGTCCTGGGTGTGCCCTAAGGTCCCTTCCAAGTTGGACTCGAGCCCACCTCAACTGCTGGATTAGTTAATATTGTGTTTGCCATCCTCTGGGGACTGTATATGGAAATTAGGTATGAAGCATGCTTTGTTTTGTGAGGTCAGTGTTTTTGTGCATGGTCCCTGTCAAATAAATACCAAAGCTCCTGAAACACAATGTTTAAGGTACGGCCAGGCCTCTTCTCAACATGGCCTCACCAGGAAACTACTGTGGGGCAATATAGTAATAAATCAAGCTTTTATATCTGTTATGATCACACTCTAAAGAGGTTAGCTAGATGCTGTATCCATATGGCTGGAAGAACATCCCTAATCTTCCACATTAGTAATTACCCTGTGCCATCGGTGCCAGCCTCTGCAGAGTTACTACTTCGTTGGTTTAAAAAAAAATTGAATAAACAGAAAATATAGTTTGAGAGAAAGAAGTAATGTTTGTGTAAGGCACGGTTAAAAATGTCCTGATGCTTTTACTAAACTGATAATGATCTTATTTAAACAAAGGCAAGCATTAAAAGTTTAAACAGCACTGTTTTCTTGAGACAAACCTACAACTATGTTACTTACTGCATTTTTTAAAAGGAAAACGTGGTAGTATCAAACCTGGATTGCTGGTCTGATTCCTTATTCAAATCTGCATTCCTGCACGTGACACTGGAGCACCGAGGAGTCTCTTTCTCTGCTGTAGTCACCGGCTCAGTCTGTCCAAATATCCAAACTGCTCCGTATTCCGCTTTTGCTTATTTTTCTCTCCCTAGTGAACGCCCAAAAGGGGAAAAAGCTCCAGGTGAAAATGATCCAGTGCAGAAAATGTGCAGGAATCAGTTAGGATCCGGCAGCCTGGATTTTTTTAAACCATGCAGCAGCTGCCCCGAGGCACGTGGTGACTTTCACTGTGCTGCAGCAGTAACGCTCAGGTGCACACGGTCACCTGGGCTGATGACAGCTTGGCCCTTACTGACTTTTTAATGACTTGTTCACCCATGAGGGGTTTGTTGCAGAACAATGATCTCTGTCACCGAAACCCTCGCCCGCCTTCTCTCTCTCTCTCCTCCTCTTACATCTGGCAAATTCTCTCCCTTTGACTTGTTTCTTCCTCCTCCTCCTCCTCTCTCAGCAGGAGCAGTCAGCTCTGCATCGGCTTCTCCGCAGACAGGCTGATGTAGCTTTTCTCTGTCCCACGCACAGCTTCCTCCGGCTGCCACAGGGAAGGAAAATCAAGTTTTTATTTCTCTTTCAGGCAGAATACCCAGGAAAAAAATGTAATAAAATGAATAATCATGACAAACTGCTTATTTTGTTGTGACAACTCTACAAATATCCTTAGCGCAATAACTACACTAATCCTAAAATAAGATTAAAAATGAAAGACCCAACAGAAAGTACGAGTACATCACATTAGTCTTTAACTCACTTTAAACTTTACTGTTTGCCTAGATCTTGGCTTTAGAGTTTTCTCACTTATTGCATATACAGCGCCTTCCATAATGTTTGGGACAAAGACAGTTTGTAGTTCTGCCCCAATCACAGTGGCTTGCAAATCAATCAATACGTGACTGAAGTGCTGACGTTCAGCTTTAATTCAAGGAGCTTTATAAAAATTTTACATGCACTTTTTAAGAATTACAGCGATTGCTATACACAGTCCCCCAAATTCTGAGATTCAAAATTAATGAACATAAATTTAAACACTCTTTTTAATACCTTTATGAAAAGAAAACTTCGCCTGAGGTCTAAACCCGTGGGCATCACCAAATGTTGAGTTTCCTTGCTTGAGTTACTCTATCAGATCTCTATTATAGCCACCTTCACTTGCTGCTTGTTTGTGTTTGACGATGGAAAAAGCGCACTCTGTTGGGTTTAGATCAAGTGATCGATTCGGCCATTGATGAATATCCCATTTCTTTTCCTTGAGAAACTCTTGGGTTGCTTTTTCAGTTTGCTTTAAATCATTTTCAGTTTGCACTGTGCAGTACTGTCTGATCAGGTCTGCAGCATTTTTGCTGAGTCTGAGCAGAGAGTAAAGTCCTGTAGACTTCAAAATTCATCCTGCTCCTTCTATCAGCAGTCACAGGGAACACTAGTGACTTTGTTCCACAGCCATACACACCAATGCCACAACACTGCCTCTATCATGTTAGACAGATAATGTTGTATGCTTTGGATCATATTCCATAATTTTCTCTTCACATCATTCTAGTTCAAGTTAATCTTGGGTAACAAACGTGTGCCATTTGCAAGCACTCATATGATTTCCGTGAAATCATTATGTATTTTAAACGGAGCAACTGAAACTGGATTCACTTCTAAAGTACATCTGGGTCTGGCTCTCAGGTTACATAGCAGAAATTTTGACCCCCGTTTGAGCTCTTGGTTGCTCCTTAGATTTAAATTTAATGGTGTTGCCATCAAGTCCCCTTGGCTTTGGAGTGACCTGCCTGAGGTGAGAAGGCTTGCAAATCTCCTTAAAAAGTCCTTTTAATACTTTTAAATTCGGCCTTTTATGTCTTCTCATCAGT